AAAAACATCATGTATGTATATATACAGGATAGCTAAGATGATTGTACCACTAATTTCCATCGGTTTTTTAAAGGTAGCAGTTAATGATTAAAATGTTTAGTTTGACCAATTTTACATACTTGTATCTGGTAATCTGAAGATAGCAATGTGTGACACAACAACCACTGTTGAATACTTCTCTTGTTTTTTTCTTAAGTTGTGTATCATTTCTACTGTCTTTATTATTTTTCTATTCTCTTTAAAATAAAAAGAAGAGTGCTGCCATTTAGAGCTCTGTGGAAAAGAAAGCTTTATATACCAGTTTCACCATCTTTTGAATAGCTGTAAAAATTGCACACTATTCCTCAATTTCTTCACTGTTTCTATTATAGAAATAATAGGTCACTATACTAAATTGCATTATGAGTTTTTGGTTTAGTTTTGCAATAATATGGATAGAACCCATGGAGATAGCTTTGTCCTGAGCTATATCCCTAATCCTTTTTTTAATCTTTTTTCAATTTTGAGTTGTATGACACCTGCATGACTGACTTGGATAAATTATCCCAGTGCTTTATGCCCCTCATAAATTTTCTTTAGAAAATTTTAAAAAGACAGCTGAAGGAGAGCAAGAGGATTCTCTGTAAAAATGTCTGTAAAAGGATAAGGTGTACACAGAAGGCTTTCATTAATTTATACATAAATTCAATTAGAAGAATTGGACAGGGAAAAACATCACTATTAAACTAAAACTTTCTTATAAGGAATATCAAATGATATCATGGTAAGTCATCTGTGTACGGTGATGAATAAGATTATAGAGATTGATAGATGATAGATGATAGATAGATAGATAATGGGAAGAAGATTATACATATAGATAGATAATAAATAGGTAGATAGATAGATAGATAGATAGATAGATAGATAGATAGATGATAGATATGATAAATACATGCTAGAAATATAGAGATATAGAAATACATGTATATACATGTCATTATTTTATACAATCTGGTGGTAAAGGCAACCAGGAAATGTATTTAAGAGGTAAGTGATTTAATCAGAATTCTATAAGTGAGGTGATGCACTCCTCCAGAGCTGCCCACACCCTGAAACCTGATTGGCCAGAAGCTGGAGGATGGGCCTGGAGTGGACTCCGGCATGAGTCTCAGTGGTAGCAGCAGTGGCAGAGGCAGTGGCTCCAGAGGAAGAGAATGAAAAAGGAAAAGTGATCCTTTCTGCAGACGATGGTATAATTGCCTTTTGATGTTAATGTATCTGGATGAACCTCAACTACCCAGGGACTTCCAAACACTGCTGCTCCTAATCTTCAGTCCTCTTTTGATCACTTTAGAACTAGGATTGCCAAGGATCTGGATGCACTGAAGCACATGAACCCAAGAGTACGTGTATCCGTCTGATACCACTGCTGAGTAGGGCTGCATTCTGGTGTTAAACACGGACAACATGAGGACTGACTTTCTAATTAAAACCATTGCTAAACAGGACAAGGCTGTGCTGTTAATAGGTGACCAAGAACAGCCAAAATAGTAAAAATCAAAGAATTCATGTCAGAGTATGATTCTGCAAGTCACATGATCAAAAGTCTGAACTTTTCTTCTGCAAACACCCCTCTGATGTTTCAGGTACTGGCTTTATGGTACTGCTCATTAAAACCAAGTTTGTGATGCACCATGGAAGGCTCACAGCACAACTTTACTCAGGTGATGTGTTCACTAAATCTCATCTGAACTTCCATAGCCATAAAATATTCCTGACTTTTCTCCCATAACTTCTGTTATTTACTGCAACAGACCCTCTCATTGCTTGGATTGTGATGTATAATTGTAAATTGTGCAGAAACATAAGGTGTACAGAAAGTTCCACAAGTCTTAATACTGTTTAAAATAGAAGCCTGTGAACATGGAAAATACCAAAGTGAGAGTAATACCAAAAAAATAAAATTCTATAAGTGAACAGTCATCTGACAGTAATGTTTGGTAAACATCAGAGTTTCATCAGGATGAAGTAGAGAAATGGCTAGAGATTATGAAATACACACAAGTATGCTTTAGATGGAGGGTCTCAGTAGTAATACATCATCAGTAAGAATGTGTATGAAATTTCAGTGTTCAGAAATGAATGGCAGGTTTCCTAATACATTAAGGACTGTAAATTATGATGAAATCCATTCCTCATAACTTTTTTGGTCACAAAACATTAGATTGTTTGTTCATTTTCAAGTTTTTTAAGACACTCATTAGGCATTTATTCTAGATGAAAGCAGTAAGATCTAAGGTCCTAAGCTGGTAATAAGACAGGTAATCAAGAAAAGCAAGAATATGGGAATTTGTGACTCTTGATATTGGAGTTCTATGTAGATAAACTTTGACAGCAGTACTTCATTTTCACTTCCAGGCAGCAGTGCCCAGTTGGAACCCCATGACCTTTGAAGCCTCATAATGGAATCTCATGACTACGAAGGCTGGCAGAAGCCTGGGGTTATTCAAACCCATGATCAGTGAGGCCTGACTGCTACTTAACCTTTTCCAGAACTCAAGGCCACTGCATCAGTCTTCAGGAATGCAGATGTGAAATCAAGTCCATCTCACATGGATCATAGGTTCCATCTGGTACCAGGGTAGATCTAGAGCCCACATATTTGCTTGTATTCAGGGACAATGAGTATCTTTGAAGTATAGGGTTTTACTGTGGTTCACCTAGTTTTGGTATCCAAAACAAAATACTATGCTTATTTCTCTTCCCCTCAAGCAGATATTATCTGTTTCCATGATGTGCTGCCTGGATTTGAGGGCAGAATCACACTGAACACAAAGCTTATACTACTCTTTTTATTAAGTATTATTCTTATGGTATAATCAGATTCTGTGATTGCTCAACCATTTGTTGTTTTGTTTTCCTCTTGAGAAAGTATTGTCAAATGTGAGTGACTGTTCAAGTTGATGTTTCTACAGGACGAAGATCATTAATAATTCTATTCTGTCATTTAATTTCACTTTCAAAACCTCCCATCTCTTTTAGTGTTTTTTTAACATCTGTATATCTTTTATGATGAAGCTTATATTCAAATATTTTGTCAGTTTTTAAATTAACTTGTTAGTTTTCTTATTATTCACTTTGATCAAGAATTCTTACATTGTATCAAATATATGACTTGCAAATATTTTTATGGGTTATGATCACCACAAAATCATATTAGTCTACTACATTGATAATGTTGCATTGATTAGAAATAGTGAACTCATGTAAGTATCCATTATATTTGCATACCACAGAAGTTCAAAAATATCCAGTAAACCTCTACCTCAGTATTATCCTTTTAAGAAACAGTTCTTATCCTGGATGGGATCATTGCAGAGCCAAGCATTTAGCTCTAGACAGGTTCTATTTCAAAAGTAAAGTTACATAAACAAGTGGCCCAAATTTCTACAATCTGCAATCACACTATACTTATTTCCCTCTCCAACCTAGCATCAATGGTCCCATATGGAGTTCACAAGATCCATTATCAGAGGAAAAGAAAAGCCATGCCTTTCTTGATAATTGTTCTGTAAGATATGAAGGAACCATCCAAAATTAGCCACATCAATCAAAGCTACTGAGACATCTCTGCAGAGTAGTAATGATAAAAAAACACTACCATCATACAGAAGTTTCAGCACCTGGCTGTTCAATCATTTAAACTAAGTATTCTGTTATCTATGAATTCTTGGGTTCTGATCAATTTTTGGCTGCAAGGTCAGTAAGCCAGAATAAGTATGATTGAATGGTTGTTTAAAATAAAATTTGGCCAGGGAGTTGGCTCAGTAGAAAAAGCGCTTGCCTGGCAAGTGCAAGGGTCTGAGTTCAATCCCCTGTTCTGCAAAAACAAAAATAAATAAATAAATAAATAAAATAAAATTTGGAGTAACACAATGCTGCTTATATGTCTTAAAGGCAATAAACATAGAGATTACAATATTTCATTCAGGTGACCTAAAGACAAATAATGTATTGCACTTAAAGAATATAGAATTAGCTTGTTCCAATTTTTAAAGGATGAAACATTCAAATTCTTGCTCATTTTAATTCCCTGTTCAATTACCCATTAGACACTTTGTTATAGTATCATTTTAACTTCTGTAATAAAAATTTAAATTTCCTCATTAAAAAAGCCATATTGTAAAACATTTAAATATAATGAATTTTGTATTTTTTTTAATTTAAGGAAGACTGAGACAATTTCCTTCCTATTCTGTCACTTTTTTGTCCATACCCACAAAATTTAATCTTCAGTCTAATCTGTTACCTTTGTGAGGTAGTGAATCTCTTAAGACTCACCAATGAAGTAGAAACACATCCTTAGAAGTCAAAGATCTTTAGTAGTCAGGGGAAGACAAATTTTTCTCTTTACTCTTATGAAAACACTGAGCTAACAGTATTTTCTGGTTGTTTATTACTTCCTCCAGTTTTGTAACTTCCTCCTTATTTATTCTTCTTTCCTATTTCTGTTTATTTCTCTATGTGTTATACAAGTAGAATTCTTACAAAAAGTGAAATGTATCATTTTCCAACCAAATAACAGGAATAAAAGGCACTTCAACAGACAATTGAATTAATGATATTTACCTGTGTTCAAACATAAACCTACTGCCCTAATGGAATAATGTGATGTATGTCTCTACCTTGTATACTTGTATTAAAATAACAGACACCATATTTAAACCATGTTTGGAGAAATACACTAGTTAGCACTATATTCATTTATAAAACCACACAGAAGAACATACAAGTTTGGAAAATGTTTTGTTTTCTTCTTTAATTATCATAGCTTAAACACATAATTAATTTTTATATAATTCTAAATGACATACACAAATCTTTAATGAACTCCATCAGATACTAACGGCTGAAGCTATGACTATTGTAATAACTTAACATGTACCAAAAAATAATGGAATCTTACTTGCTTGTAAGATTTTGTAACTATTTTTAAAAAGCTATATTATAGTATAATTCTAAACATTTCCCCTTAGTGCTTTCATTAATGAGTCTATTACTTTCTTATTTCTTAAGCTGTAGATGATGGGATTTAACACAGGAATTATGACTGTGTAAAATAAAGAGTCCATCATATCTTGATCATCCGCTTGTGAAGATGCAGGATGCATGTACATGAAGACAAGACTACCATAATATAAACACACAGATAAAAGATGAGATCCACAGGTGGAGAAAGCTTTCCTTGTGCTTTTTACAGACCTCTTTTTTAAAATTGCAAAGAGCACAAATGTATAGGAGACAATAACAGTCACACCAGTGAATAATTGAATTGAACCTGACACAATAAAAAGCATTAAATAATGAATGGAAGTATCAGTACAAGAAATCTTTAACAGTGGTACAATGTCACAATAAAAATGGTGTATTATATTGGAATTGCAGAACGTTAATCTGAATAAAAGTCCTTCATGTACTGAAGAATTAATAAAACCACCTACAAATGATGACACTAATAGCTGGATGCATCTTCTATTGGTCATAATAACTGGATAAAGTAAAGGTTTACATATGGCAACATAGCGATCATAAGCCATTGCTGCCAAGAGAAAACATTCTACTGTGGCACTGATTGCAAAGGAAAAGAATTGTACCATGCATTCAGAGAGAGAGATCAACTTACTCTTGCCTAACAAGTTGACCAGAATCTTTGGTGTCACAGTGGATGACAACCAGGTATCCACAAAAGCTAAACTCCCAAGAAACAAGTACATGGGGATGTGAAGGTGAGGGTTACTCCAGATGAGAACCATCAGACCAAGGTTTCCCACCATGGTAATGAGGTATACTGTGATGAACACCAGGAACAGGGGGATCTGCCATTCTAGTTGATATGGGAGTCCTGTGAGAACAAACTCTGTCAGCAATGCTGTAGTTTTATTTTCCATGTTGTCAATGGATGTTTCTTGAAAAGAAATGAAAAATTAACATTGTTGAAGTGTTTACAATGTGAAAAGTTTTGGACACTTCAAATAGAACCATATACATATAGCAATGCCTTCTGTTGCTCTTATTTTACACTGTTAACTACTAGACACTGTTTAGAGAGAACTAAGAGAATCAATTATTTGAATTTACTGAATTTCAGAAATATATACAGTATAATAAAGAAAATTATTCTAAGTGTGTGTGTTAAGTTTATATGAACACCAGAAAGATTCTGAGTTTGACTAGTGGATTCAGGTTCAAGGAAAAATTCTATGAGTATTAAATAAATAGAAAGCCATAGGAAATACCTTATGCTTCACTCTCCAGGCAATAGCCATGCACTAAAACCTCTCAGGACATATAATGGTCAGTGAGAGATCTTTTAAATGGTTGTAATTATAGAAAAAACAGTAGAGGATGCAATAAGGGGAAACAGGATTCAGAGATAATAATCAGGAAGTTCTTTCCATTGTCCACAAATGCTAAACCAGATCATGTATCAGATTGTCTGGGGAGTTTTATTGCCAGTGCACAAACTGGCAATAAAATAGATTGCTATATAAAAAGATATCATAGTTCATAAATGAAGTTTTGAAATATGTGTTTGTAAAATACTATGCACAACTCATATGCATGTGGCTACTTCCTGTTAAGGCATTAGGTGTGAAGAGTGGAAAAAAAGATACTGACTCAAAATAACTAAGACTGTACAGCCAGGAGGATTCCATGAAATGTTAGATATCCAGAGTGGTCAGTAAAGGAAAGTGGAGTAACATAGTGATTTAAAATGAGATTAAGACCTCAAATTCTTTGACAGTTATATGGAAGACACACAATTTGGAAATGTTCATTAGTTCTATTACTTTTTAACATTATGGTATGTGATACACTGGAGTAATTAAAAACATAGTTTGGAATAACCTATACCTAGAAAAGCATACCAAAAGTAAAACAAGAATAGATAAGAATACATTTACAAGTTCTATAAAACAGCTTTTAAAGTTTATGAACACAGTTTATACTCTTTCTTTTCACATAAATACTGAAAATGAATGGAGACATTTCCTTTAAACTAGAATTATGTTTTCAACACTATTGCATCTAAAGTGAGATGACTTAATCTAGCTTTGGCAAGTTTAATCAATCCATCATAGTTTTAGAATTTGGAGAGGTCCAAACAAAGAACTAAGGACCAAAGGGAATTTTGAAATTCAGCCATAATAGAAGTATTGAGACTCAATCAAGCATATACCACAGCAGACAATCGAATTGATAGTGGGCTAAGACATCCAAGCTTTCCCCAGCCATCATGGAAACTTCATTGATGTGGTACTGAGAAACGATTGTGGCCACCAACTAGCTGCCTTAACTCATTCTGTAGTTTTTCAACTCATTTATCATATTTCTTCAATCTGCCTAGTCTTGTAAGTGAGAGCCAATATCCATACAACAAATTCATTTCCTTTTGCAGCTATAGTTCATGCTCAAACAAAAGACAAACAAGAAAGAGTCCAAAAAAGATATCAAGCATAGTAATCAGAGAAGCAGAAAGAAACTTTGAAAGTTGAATAGCATGAGCAGTAAGAGAGGAAATATTCCAAAGAAGGACAAGGTGAAGTATAGTGCTAAAGACTAAAAGAAATCCTCTAAGATGATGATGGGTGAACTGAGATCTCTGCTTATGAAAACCAGAATTTTTTCCTAGCTTCAGTGAGAGCATGTTCCATTTAGGTATACGATTAAGGACAGAGATAAACAAGAGGCAGATGGAGAAGAAATAGCCCAACAGTGAATACTGAAAGTGACTTAAAGAAATAATAGCTGGCATAGACAAAATAGTTTTTATTTATGAAAAGATTTTCATAACAATAAAATCTTTTCATAAAAGATTTTAACTCTTCCATAATAATTAGAAGAAAAGACCAGAAGAAAAAAGGAACAAGAAAACTGTAAGAGAAAATTTAGTTGGGAAAAGAAAAGAAAAAGAAATTGGAAGAGAATAAAAAGGATTTATATGGGTAACTATAAGAAAGACAAGCCAGAGAAAGGATAAAAATATCCAAAAAAGATTGAAACAAAACTGAAAGATTAAGAAGCTTAGGGGTAGATATGTATCTTAACCCTATAGTTCATTGAAGACTCTCAATTCAGTGCTCCTCCTCAAAATTCAAAGTTTTTAGTTTCCTGTGGAATTTGTGTATGAAAGAGAGATTTGGTTTTTAATTTTTCTAACAGCTATGCATGGTGGCACATGTTTGTAATTGCAGCACTTGGGAGATTGAAACAGGAGGATCACTGAGAGTTATGACATGGCTTGGGCTACATAATAATTCAAGGTCAGTTTGAACTACATAGTGAGACTCTGCCTCAAAAAAAGTGTTTTCTGGGCTGGGAAGACAGCTCAGCCATCTAAGCGCCTGCCTGGCAACCACCAGGTCCTGGGTTCAGTTCCCAGTACAACATGCTGTTCTGACCCTGTGCCAAGCTGGCCACTGAAACCAGGCATGGTGGTGCACACCTATAATCCCAGTGCTGGGGAGGCAAAAACAGGAGGATCACTACAAGTCCAAGCTGCATAGTGAGACCTTGTAACAAATAAGTAAACAAAAAATTGAAAAACAAAAGTTTTCTAACAAATTATGTATTCATAATATACTAGCATTGTCTAATAGTTATTTCTGTATGTAAAAGTTATTTTATCACAGTTATAGTAGTGATTAGAACTGACTTACACCATAACATAAAAGTAAAAATGGTTAGCAGATGGTCATAGGAGAAAAAATTTTGAGCCACAGAAATTTGCCTATGGGATGTGCTGCCTTGCTGGAAATGGAAAATGTGAAAGCGAGAGTTTTCTAATTCCTTATAGTGTTAAATGATCCAGGGGTTTCTAGTTCAACCTAGTCCAGTGAATTTTAAAATACTTAAAACTTTGATGACCACCCTTGTCTGTGTTAGTTCCCAAACAGACTCAAAGTAGTAGCAATAATAGGATTGCTTATCTTCAGAGAATATTACAGGTCCACATACTATTTCTCAGATAAGTGTTATAAAAAGGCCTTCTAGCTTTGTCTCCAGTGGAAGAGTGGCTTCTTGTTGTTGTTGTGTTTTAATTGAACTCTTGATTTTCAAATATTCTATGTATAAATAAAACTGTTGATACTTGTACTTGTTCTTACTTTGTATTTCTAACCTTGAAGCCTTGAAAGTATCCTCATCTAAATACTTTTTATTTTAGCAGAACAATGTTTAGTGAAGACTATAAAACAAAACAGGCTGTATAAATAACAAACCTCAGTTCCAGTGGTTAAATGTATTTTAATTTGGGGTTATTATTACACCATATAAGCTCAAATCACAAAATAATTGGAAACTCTAATATTCTGTTTTCCATAAGAATATATTTAGGTTATAAATACTGGAACAAATAATACAAAGTCATTTTCTGAATTTTCTCTTCATTCTTGTTTTTTTTTCACTCTTAATTTAACAAAATTATTATCAGAACTGAGATAAAGGCTAGAAGACCTAATATTTGAATCACAGCTAAACCTTTTTTTAGAATACTTATTTAATTAGCATAAACCTTTAATAGAATCAAGAGAAAAGTATCTTATGTAAGAAACATGATTGGATCTTTCAACTCAGTTTTAAACCAGTGTTCTAGTCACTTAAATTCATCTTATAAATGTACTATAATTCAAGTAGCAAGTTGATAAGTCACCATTAGAGGAAAAAAAGTCAGTCTTACAGGTAGCTATTTTATTTACCCAGCCTTTAATCTTGAACATAAAGAACACAGATAATCCTTCAATAGTTTTCCACTTCCACTCATCTATTTTGACATCCTGAAACACAAACTTAATTTATTATAAAATTGAACAGAAATTTTAACTTACTATATAAAGAATAATTAACATTGTGTAAATCATTTATATCTTACCCATCTCTGGAATAAAAAGTATGATGAGCCTTTAAAAGTATGAAGCTTTAAAAGTAGAAAAAATAAAATTATAGTACAGGAGAGATAAAATTATAGGTAGAAGTCCTTGGGCATGCTGATTCATTTTGGAGACTTCATTTCCCAAGTTGAGAAAATGTTTTGTTTATAAATTTGCCTACCAAAAAAATGAGTCACCAATTTTAAAACTGTTGTCTTGCCAAAAAATGGAATGGAAAAAAATTCCCCAGGAAAGGCCAAGGAGTTCCTTTAGGGAACTGTTCTACTGGGCATTGTACATTTGGACAATCAACAGACGACCTCAGTTTGTTCCACAGGGTGTTACAGAGTTTGGAATCAAAAACATGAAGACTCTGGAGGCTGTGCTAGTTTAAGCAATTGCTGTTATACTATACTTACTATTTTCTAACCTATGTGACATTTCTGGCATATGTAGGAAAGCTTTATACATAAAATATTATCTTCTGAATGTTCTAATTTGCATTGTTCTAATTTTGTCCAATCTAATAACAATACGAGTTTAATATGTACAAAGTTTTAGATTTCCTTCAGGATCTGACCACAAATTTCCACAGTCAAAACTGTACTACAAATTCTAGACATATCTCTAGCTATGCCAATTTAAACTGAAATAGAATGAGAAGCTTTACTAGGAAATGTCCAGAGAAGAGGCAAAGAAACAATATGGCAAGTTACCTCTAGGAGAGAAGACACAGAATTCTGCTTCTCAAACTTCAGTGTATATAAGTTTCATGGAGAGCTTATCTAACTACAGATTTAAGGTAAGTGGTTATCAGTGAATTTCAGAAATTTGTTTTTCTCATACAGTGATATCTGATGTAGACATGGGCTATGTGCAAGAGATTTGTTAGAGTCTTGAACATTACATAAAGCAAAAATTGTGAATGTGATTATCTTTCAAAGGGAGAGGCAGGGAAGATCCAAGTGTGTCCAGGGAGGCAGAATAACTAACAGTACACATGGCTTGGAGGTTTGTTCAGGACTTTTGTTGCTTATCCTAACATACTGTTTTTGAGAAATTTTAACATGAGAATAACATATACATGTTTTCTTTTTGAGATTAACAGTAGGACTGGTCAAGAAACATACAGGAAAGACTATTTTTGTGACATTGAGATTTGATATCTGAAACATAATATGTAAATACATAGTAAATATTTGCTTGTTTGCTAACTTTCACTATCAAGAAATTGGAAAATTAAAGGAAAACATTTTAATTCATTATCTGGTTACCTTTCACTTTTTCTAATGACAAAGAAATAGGGAGAGAAAACCAACATATATAAAAGTGAATCCACACAAATACTCTGCAGAAATGGGAAAAAAATATGATGCAAAAAGAGAGTTATTAACCTAATCAAAATTTGTTATAAGGGCTGGCCAGATAGCTCAGCAGATTAAACCACGTGCTTAGGCAGACACAGGGATTGGGTGCTGATACGATGTTTGAAACTGAGCGTGGTGGCACACTCCTGTAATCCCAACACTTGGGAGGCTGAAAACAGGAGAATCACTCGGAGTCTGATGTGTGTAGTGAGACTCTGTTGACCCTGTACTAAATGCACAAAAAGAAATTTGATACAAATTGACTGATTCCTCATATTTCAGGTAATTTGGCAGTAACATATTTATTAAAGTTGTTGAAAAGGGATATGATTTAATGAGAATTTTGTGGAGAAAAAATATGTGGCAACAATGTTTGAAAAGAAAGATAGTATAAACAAGGTACAAGAGATAAGTAACAAGAATTTCTCAAAATACACAAATAAGTAATTTCTAGGTTAAGTTTCAAATTTGGACCAGTAAGGATGTGCACAGAATTTCAGCAGGAAGTGGGAAGGAAAGGGTAGCACTGGAGGTGGCTCACTCATTATTCTTTTTTAACACAATTTTTTATTAATTTTATTGAGAAAGGAAGAGCAAAGAGGCAGTTTCAAACAGGTTAGTAAGACAGCTACAATAATTAATACATTGTGTACTGTCTTCCTAGTAGTTATTCAGAGGACAAGATTCAGACATGATATCTTGTCTAAACACCATTAGTACAAATCTTTTGTCTCTTTGAACTAAGAGAAAGTAGCCATATATCTATCCTAATATATATATATATATATATATATATATATATATATATATATATATCACTACAAAATGGTCCTTCATTTATATTCCCCTTTTTTGTTTAATTTTGTCAGAGATGGGTATTCCATTGCCATATTGTGGGTGCATGAATTCAGCAAAGTAATCCAATATAGTCCAGTAGTCCATAATGGTAGTGGGTTATCCACAGGACTAGCAATGTCAGAAGTTGTTGACAAGCCTTTTACTTAAAGTGCTTGGAGCAAACAGTAAAGGTAGCCAGCACTGAAGGATTTTGCAGGCCAATATTTTCCAAAGTTGCTCACTTTCCAACCCCCACTGTGCACAGCAGTCCCATGTCTTCTTAAAGTTATCTATTCTTTGGTAATGGGCTTTTAAAGCCATTTGTTTTCAGAAATGTGTTTGAGTAGAGCTTATACTGATTTATTTTTCTTGTTTTGTTAATTTCCAGAAGAATGAAATAATTTCCTTTTGTAATTCTACTATTTTTTTCTCTAATGTATACTAACTTATTTCTGCAATCTCATCAGTTAGCTTTCTGAATTAGTAAGGCTTTCCATTCTGCCTAGTATCATTCAAATAAAATCTTTGCAGACATCATAAACAACAAAATGAGTTAAGCGTCCTCTTAGAATTTGGCCCTGCATTCACTCTTTTTTTTTTTCATGATTGTGTTTCAGTTTCTGATTACTTCCCAATATAAGAGTCAGGTAAATTGCTTCAAGTAAAATTCATCATTTCCCAAGAAATTGAAAAAAAGAAGTTTAAAGGGCTAGCAGATTTCCTGGGATTTGCATCTGTTCAAGCAAACAGAAACCTACAAAATGAAGTCAACAGTGTGCCCCAACTACCCAAATCTGTCACACGTTTTATATCTCCTACATAACTCATTTTAAAACAAATTATGTTAATTTAGTATCTACTGCATTAAGAAAACCACACTAAAACTATATCAACTAATAAAATGTCTACATTTGTCTTCATTTTATATAACATGACACTTGATTAAATTTTTATGTTGTGAAATTAAAGATAATTTTAACATTTTAAGAGTTTTATTTATATCAGCTTAAGTCATTAAGATGTTTGATGGACTGATTTAATAAAAGTGAAAATGTAGAAGCAAGACAATTTTGATTGCAAAAAGCTTTAAACACTTTCCAAAACAAAGACATATCAAACTATAAATTTTGTGTAGAAATTTCTGTTATTTGATACAGGGTCTCATTATGCAGCCTGGACTCATAGTGATCCTCCTATTTTCAGCCTCCCCAGTCCTGGGATTACAGGTGTGAGCTACCACTAACAACTTCCCAGTTCCATCCCCCTTCTCCACTCTGTTGTGGTTTAGGGAGCCCCGGAGACAGGGCCAGCACAGCATGCTGGAGCATGGATCCAACCCTGGTCCCTGTGCTTGCCAAAGCCAGCATTTTGTCTGCTGAGCTATTTTTTATTTGTTTTGCTTTGTTTTGTTTTGGTTTTGGTTTTGATTTTTGAGACAGGGTCTTATTGTACAGTTCAGGTTAGCCTTGAACTCATAGCAATCCTCCTGCCTCATACTCCCCAGTGCTGTGATTAGAAGGCACAGACATGCAACACATTGTACAGATTCTATGACAGTTTTATATCAAATAGACAAGAGATATTACATGGAAGATCTAAATATTTCTCTTTAACATTTTTGTCAGTGAATCAATAACTTGCTTGTTTCTCAGGCTGTAGATAATTGGATTTAACAGGGGTATTATTACAGTGTAAAAGAGGGAATCCATCATATCTTGACCATCTGCTTGTTGAGATGCAGGAAGCACATACATGAAGAGAAGAGGGCCATAGTACAAAGACACAGATAAGAGATGGGCTCCACAGGTGGAGAAAGCTTTTCTTATGCCTTTGAGAGACTTCTTTTTTAATATTGTAAAGAGAACCAGGGTATAAGAAACAAGAACAATCACAATGGTGAATACTTGTATTGAACCAGACAAAATAAATACCATTAGAAAATTTATAGAAGGGTCAGTACAGGAAATCTTAAACAATGGTATAATGTCACAAAAAAAGTGATGTATTATGTTGGAATTGCAGAAAGTTAATTGGAATAAAAGCCCTTCATGAATTAGAGAATGAAGAAAGCCACCTACAAATGATAAAACTAAGAGACGGATGCATAGTCTGTTGGTCATAACAACTGGATAAAGTAAAGGCTTGCATATGGCAACATAGCGATCATAAGCCATCACTCCTAAGAGAAAGCATTCTGTAGTCCCACCAAACGCAAAAGCAGAAAATTGTATCATGCATTCAGAGAGAGACATCAACTTGCTCTTGGATATCAAGTTTACCAACATATTGGGAGTCACTGTGGATGATATCCAGGCATCCACAAATGCTAAACTCCCAAGAAGCAAGTACATGGGGATATGAAGTTGCGGGTTATTCCAGATGACAGCTATCAGCCCAAGGTTCCCCACAATGGTGAAGAGGTATATAAACAAGAACATGAGAAACAGGGGTACCTGCAGCCCTTGATGATCTGTAAGTCCCGTGAGTAGGAATTCTGTCAGCAAGGACCCATTTTTCTTTTCCATTTCCTCACTGAATGTCCTCTACAATTTAATGACATAAATGTAACATCATCCATTAGAATTTATATAGTGAATACTGTATTATGGAAATCAATGTAAAGCCATACTCTTATAAGAATAGTTTTATTTCATTTTACTCTAATGGATAGAAACAATTATACTACAATTGAAATTGAAATGAATGCAATTATTTTAATTACCCAAATATGATCAAAAAAGCTTTTCTAAAAACTTCTCTGCAAATTATTAATAAAATTCATGTAGAATGCCTAGCATATGTGTGATAAGACACTGGCTGTGATGATGAAGATAAACTGATTTTAAAATTTTCAGAATGCAGAGTCACTAACATTTAGTCAGATATTTAGTATGGAAGAAGTATTCACTAAAAAGGAGAGGAGTTGCTTAGCAACTAGGTAGGTAGACATGCCAAATTGAGGTTATTTGGATGCTTTGAAAAGTTTGTAGTGTGAACATCCCTTATGAAGATGTACTTGATCATATGACTCTAATAAAGTCACATAAGTAATGATTTGGGAGTTAGAGCACTGAGGTACGTAAGGGCTTGTATTGAATCATCTACCAATTAAAAACACAGAAACATAAAAGAACTCTCAGAAGTTATATGAAAGGGATTATAAAAGGGTAGATGTCATTTGTTAGGTATGAAACTTCTGATTTCCTTCTCAACTGCATAATTCTTGGTGGCAGACAGTGATTTCATCTAGTTTGCCCACTGAAACCCACTCAATTTAGCCTTTGAAGTGAAATATACATGGCAAAGGCATCAAAAACAGAAATATCACAATGCAAGTATGGGCATCATGCATATACAACCATGATACTGGTATTGTGCGTTAGAACCACGAAAGTGCACCACCAGCAGTAACCACTCTTGCTCAGCTAGTGAGAAAGTACAGTTTTGGCTCCCCTGATTCTTCTACCCACTGCCATTTTACTCAGCAGTTTTCTTCAAATTCTAAGGTAAAGCCAATTTCCATTCAATAAGTTCATGTTCCATTTCAAACCAAAGCTCTGGAAATCCAAAATGGTGACAAGGGAGAGATAAAAGAAATAACGTCTATTGAGCAGAATGATTAATGAAAGAACCAGGAAGGAAATAAGAGTTGTAAGCATGAAACAAAGATAGATATTAAGAATGACAAAATGAAGTACAGTATCAAACACCAAAATAAATGTCCTAGGAAGAGAAGGAGTGAGGACAGATTCCTGAGTGTGAAAATCAGGGAAATTGTAGTGCTTTAGTGAGAGCACTTTCCTTTGAGTAACAGAATTAAGGTGAATGAATAACAAGTTAAGAGTGTGTGGCACAGGAGTAAGGGCAGCGTACTGGTTAAATCACAAGATATACACAGGAGTTAGCGTTTTTCTACTGCTCTTAGACTAATTTTTTCTCCTTGTAAAATACTTTAAGCAAATTTTTCAAAAGGAAGTATAATCAAGTGAAGGAGAGGAAAACAGCCAGCAAAATATAACACAAGAAGTAGGAAGAGAAATTTGGAAAGGTGGAAAGAAAATGACATGGAGTAAGAGAAATAGACAAAGAATAACAAAATTGTACATGGAAGGCTGTAGAAAATATAAGCCAAAAATGAATGACAGAGCAAGGATTAGAGACACCTGGAGACTAACTAATCCTAGAAACTCAGAGATAGAGTTAAACTTTTGTATTGACACTGGTGCACATTAGTCATTGACATTCTGATAATCATTTCACTTTATTTAAAAAAAAGTTTATTGAAACAACATATAATCAAGAGAAGTAAATGTCAAATTTTATTGCATTCATTAATATATTAACACTGTCAGAGTTAATTTTGTATTTAAATGTTTCCTTGTCTGATTATTACAGAGCTAAATTTCTCTAGAAAGTCAGTTTTATTTGAGAGCATTTTCTTCTTCTCCATTTTTAGCAGAGTAAAATGAGCCAAATATGGTGCCATGACTGTGACAATATAAAGAAATAAATATCAACAATTCTACTTTTAAGTACAACTTTATATAAATGGTTATTTCTATGTAACCCCTAAATAAATAAAAATTTTATTGTTATATATAGTATATATATAGTTACTAACTTTAGCAAAGTATTCAGAATTAGAAAGATATCCTCACAAACTAAATTTAAGAACTATATTATGTACAGTATTATATTATACATGAAATTAATATTATATATAAAATATTCAATGATTCATATATGAATCCATAGGTATTCAATTCTACATACATCTCTTTCTATATCTGCATCTCTTTATATGTTATATTATCACATTATAGGTGCCATTTACAAATATCAAATTAAACATGTATTTTCATATGAATATGCTATACAATATGTATTAAAATTATTGTCAGAAATTAGAAGGCACAGATGAGTTAACAGTTAATTAAAATACCTTAAAAGATTTAATCAGAAAATGTCATTTTTCAGAATGGATATTTATGTCACAATCATTATGAATATTTCCTATACACTAATTATTAGGATTCAACTCTTTAAACCCAGGTTAAAACATTTAATATTCTATTTCATTAAAACTCATAAAATCACTAGGGTCATGTTAATAAGATAACATATTATCTTGACACATGGAACACTTCCTCTTATAGGCATTTTACTCATACAGATTTTAGTCATGAGAATAAAGCACAAAGATCATTTGTTCTTTACTATTCATTCATCACACTGTTTTTACATTTTGTAAGACAAATGTAAAATAATTACAAATAAATCTCAAACTATATGTCTCATACTTTTATTATAAGTAGTAATTAAAATCATAAAGTGAGTCTATTACCAATATCTTCTAAGAAATTGTGGCAATCCTTTAAAACTGCAAGGCTTTCAAGAGCAGAAATAACACATGATAGCATAGAAGTGACAATAATGCAATGAACGATTCGTTGCATGAAGTTAGATTGCAGGTTTCATTATGTAAGCTAAGGAAAGCATTGCTTATAAATTCCTGCTTAGAACACAAGTGTGAGCCAGTTATATATTTCAGGGCTTTTACCAGGAGAAGGTGGTGTGGAGAGATGGAATTCCCCTAAGAGTGCCTGAGGATTCCCCACAGGGTGAAGTAAGAATCTTCAACTAGGCATTGCTGATTTGGATATGTGTAAGAAAGCTTCATTATCCCAAGGGGTATTATAAACTTTAGAATCATAAACATCAACTCACTGTGGCTAGCTCCAACTTTAACTATTGAAATCATACTTTATATGACTATTTTCCACCATAGATGATACTGCTGTTCTGTTTGGGTAAACTTCAGTTTATATACAAAATTAGATGCTCTCAGTGCCTTGATTTTTATATGTGCTTATCATAATATGATTTTAATGAAGCAGACACTCTAGATTCCCTTCAGGATAAATCTCCATGTGAACTTCAGTTTAAATTTTAAACATGTTTCCAGTTTTCACACTTTAAGCCAAAATTTGCTAAGTTTTACTAGTCTGAGAACAGGGAAAATGACAAAGAAAAACCAAAGGCAAAGAAACTTTGGAGGAGGTGGTATGCACCTGTGCTGCCCAAATTTAAAATATCTGTGAATTCTCTGGATAGTTTTATTAAGTCATGGATTCTTTTTACTTTGTTATAGGTAGAGCTCAAGAATTTTCAATTTTGGGAAAGTAATATTTGCAGACACTTGCTATCTATCGGCTTATTGGGCGGGCTTATTGTCAGAGAGCCTCATCATTGGAGACACAAAAGCATATGAATATTTGGTTTGAAAAAAATGGGAAGAACACAGATGGGGAAAAGAAAGAAGGCTAGCATAGGTGTGGGTGAAAGTCCTACCTACAGGTAGAGAAACTCTTTAATCCAACTGAAAGAAAACCTATCAAAGGGGATTAGACATGTCAGGAACATGTTTAAATTCCTGTTTATGTACAAAAAGTATATTTTATGAGCATTCAGAAAATATTCACAACAATTATGTCTGGCAGGTAACCATCTCTAGAGTAAAAAGATGTTTTAAAAGATAAATGTTGTGCACATGATGGTGGTTTTATTAATGTGCAGCAAGTAAGACTTTTGAATCAAAGAGGCTTCCACTTAGATTTGGAAAAAGACTTGATTCTGTACATTATTCATATTTTCCTGTTAGTCCTTTGTGGGAGGAACAGCTGGTTAATTTTTTTTCACATTCTATGGGTTGTCTTTTTACTCCTTTGGTAATTTCTTTTACTGTGTAAAAGCTTTTTAACAGGATGAGATCCCAATTGTTGATTATTTATAGTATTTCTTATGCCTTTGGGATTTTGTTCATGAAGACTTTGCTTGCACCTACTGAAAGGTACGAACCCATGCAATCAACCAGGCCAGGCATTCTGAAGTGAGCAGAAGATTTATTGGGGACATCAAGCAGGCTGGCTGTGTAGCAGACCAAAACAACAGTGAACAAAGGAGGGACAGGAGACTTCATAGGATCTTTTAAGGAGGGTGATCACTGGCTAGAACAGCTGAATGTGAGCTAATCTTGGCAGGGCTACCTGGTCTGTGCAGGAGTTTTTTGTTTGTTTGTTTGTTTGTTTGTTTTGTTTTTTGTTTTTTTTTTGTTTTTCTTTTTTTTCTTTTTTTTAAATTTATTTTTTATTTATTTATTTTTTTCAAACCAAATTGGTAGGACAGCTTCAATAATTAACACATTACATACATTCTTCCTAGTGGTTAATTGCTGTACAAGATGCGAACTTGATATCCTATTTACAAAAACCACTAGAACAAATCCCTCTATTTATTAAGAGAATGTAACTATATATCTATCCTTTTTTTTAATTTTGATGGT